ACCACTTCAAGGCGCCACGCGTGGACACCTGGCTCACGGATGAGCTCACCCGGTTCCTCTGGACAGCACCGCCGCCCGCGTCGTACAGCGAGCCCGACGCCGCCGTGGACGTGCCTGCGGGCCTTGTCGACGATGTGCTCGCGGACATGGCCACAATGATGAAGCCTGGCAGCGATGCGACCGGCGGCGGCGTTGGCAGCGTCTCTGACGAGCGGCGGCGGAAGCGGGAGAACGCGGAGCGCATCAAGCAACAGCGGGCACAGCAGCGCTCAAACCACTTCAACGCCGTGCTGAGACGAAGCCGCTGCACTGCTGTTGCAAAGAAGCGCATTCAGCAGATCTTCTCCGGCGCCCTCGCCATCGTCGTCGAGTGAGTTGTCCGCTGTGTGTGTGTGTGTGTGTGTGTGCGTGCGTGCGTGTATGTGTGTGTTTGTGAGTGCTCTTGAGCTTCTGAAACACACCCTTCTACCCTTGTGTCATCCGTCTGGACGCTGGATATCTGGTCTTCTACCCCTACAGTTTGCACAAGCAGCATCTGGACGACTTTGCGTGCCACGCCCTCGGTATTGCACTCCAGAACAACACAAGCACAAAGGAGATCAGGTGCGCATGAACAAGTTTGTGTGTGTGTGTGTCTGTCTGTGTCTGTGTGTGTGTGTGTCTGTCTGTCTGTCTGTCTGTCTGTCTGTCTGTCTATCTGCATGTGCGCGTGCACTGCACTGGCTTTTTGGTGTATTGTGGGAGCGTTTGTGTGTGGATACCTCCAAAGCCTCGCCAACTCGTGGCATGTTTGTGTTTCCAACGCTGTCATGGCCAGGATGTATTGCAACGACTTCACCCCGAACGGCGTTGAGGCGCTGTGCCGCTCGCTGGAGACCAACCGCGCCCTGACAATGCTCTCGTCAGTCCATGTTGCGCCCCCGATACCTGTTGCGCAACTGCACATGTTACTTGCTTGTGCATGCTTCGCGCTCAATGCTAATCGCTTCATCCGGACAATATGTGTGTGTGTGCGTGCGTGCGTGTGTGTGTCTGTGTCTGTTTCTGTGTGTCTGTTTGTGTGTGTGCGTGTGTATATGTGTGCGTGTGTGCGTGCGTGTGTGCGTGTGTCTGTGTCTGTTTCTGTGTGTCTGTTTGTGTGTGCGCGTGTGTATATGTGTGCGTGCGTGTGTGCGTGTGTCTGTGTCTGTTTCTGTGTCTGTTTGTGTGTGCGCGTGTGTTGGGGGGGGGTATGTGTGTGTGTACGCGCGTGTGGGTGTGGTGTGGGTGTGTGGGTGTGCAGGTTGGCATCAAACAACGTGGGCAATCGTGGGGCCGCCGCGTTGGCTAGACTCGTTGAAACGCATCGCCACCTCAAAGAGCTCTGGTTGGATCCGGTGGGCGTGCCCAAATGCATGCCTGCGTGTGCATGGCAATATGAACACGTACGCGTGATATGAATGATATGAATCCACTCACAACGTGCGCCTTTCCAACATGTACACCAGGTTGTGGAACACTGCGATTGGCGATGAAGGCGCGGTGGCGCTGGCCACAGCCTCAACAAAAAGCCGGTCCTTGGAGAAGATCGAGTGAGTCCCTTTGTGTGTGTGTGTGTGTCTGTGTCTGTGTCTGTGTCTGTGTCTGTGTCTGTGTGTCTGTGTGTGTCTGTGTGTGTGATCATGTGTGTGTGTGCATGTGTGTGCCGTGTGTGTTTGCCTGCCAGCGTCCCTGCCTTCCAGCCTTCCAGCCAGCCAGCCTCTGATTGCCTGGTGTTGTTGAACCTCGTAACACTCACTACTTCCTCTCCCACCTGACTGGTCGCAATTCCATCAAGATTGGAAGGCAACCGCCTATCGGCCAAAGGCATCACCAGGGTTGAGGCCGCCGCCAAGCAGAAGATTGGCAAACCCGTCGATGTGAAGCTCTAGCCCTGCGCACATGTGTGTGTGTGTGTGTTCGTGTGTGCGTTCTCGCGCGCGCGCGTGTGTGTCTGTATGGTTACATGTGTACGCTGTGGGTGCTGTTGTTTCGCGCGGTGTGTTCGTTCTCTGGATTATGCTGTATTGCTTCAAGACGGTTACTTCTTGATTTACACCACCCACAACAATCACGCCACCCTGTGTGCCTGAGGCCAACAACGCAAAAGGCAATCTGAGAGAACGGGGTGGCCCAAATGAGCGATTCGATTGACACACGTCACACACGCACACACACATACACACACACGCACACGCACACAAAGCGGCGTCGTGCCTACGCTGCTGGCTCCTGTGCAACACGCACGACAGCAATCCCAACCGCAGGAAGAACTGTGTCACCATTGATGACTGATGCAGCGTCGGCTAAGGACAGCTCTTGCGTAATGTTGGCATGCACCGTGCCTTCCGCGCCCTGCTCAAAGCAAGTGAAGGATCCCATGTTGCGTGAGATGTGCATGTGCGCTGCGTGTCTATGTGTCTGAGTGTGGGTGGGTGTGCCTGTGTATCTATATGTCTGAGTGTGGGTGGGCGTGCGTAGCATGTATCTCTGTGTCTGTGGTCGCCTGTGCTGGAGCTGGATGGTTACAGTACGTGCTTTCATGCCCATGCCTTCGGTGTGAGAGCCGCAACAACACGGTGCCATCTGGGCCTCACCAGTTTCAGCGCGTCGCGGAGCACGTGAAGTATCCTCCCCTGCATACTCGCGCCAGACACCACAGCCACCGCATTCACGTGCGCTATTGCTACAGATTTCGCAAACAGCGCAGCTTGCAGCGTAGCCCCAACCTGACACGCACAAATGTTGGCCATGTGAGTGTGTGTGTGTGTGTGTGTGTGTGTGCGTGCGTGGCTGCGTGTTGTGCGCATACGTGTGTGTGTGTGTGTGTGTGTGTGTGTGTGTGTGTGTGTGTGTGTGTGTGTGTGTGCGTGTGTGTGTGTGTGTGCGTGTGTGTGTGTGTGTATGCGGACAAGTCTGTTTGTGCGCGGAACGTAGTGTGTGTGTGTGTGTGCGGCTTCACGCTGTCTAGGGAGTTCATCAAATCTATGTGCTCGAGATTGAGATTGAGTTCTGAATACTCGCAAGAGTCAGCTAATAACCTTTGACGGGTTGTGTTTATGTGTCTTCTAAATGGCTGTATGTAGTAAGTATTGTCCAGGCTCACGTATCGTAGTAGTCACCAGCGTGGGTGTCCCACTGCCGCCACTCACCTTAACAGGAACATCAGGGGTTTTTTTTC